TTTTTTAGGACAAATGTTGTACATTCAGGGTGAATCGTGGCTTATGTTCTTTAAAGCACAGTTGTGGTTAACTCCGTCTTCCTCTTCCCACACAGAGAGATGTTCTTTACCACCATGGAAAGCCACCTTCTGCGCTGCAAAGTGTTAGAGATCATATTCCTCCACAGCTGCGAGACACCCACCCGCCTGCCTCTGTCTCTGGCTCAGGCCCTCTACTTTCTGAATAATTCTACGTCACTGCTCAAGTGTCAGGTACATTTTTCCCTGCTCAATTTCAGACCTAGAGCACCTTTCTTTGCTCTAAAGCCGAACCCTTCCCATAGGATTTTAGCTTAAAACACAACTGTTTGAGCATTCTGTGAAGGTGAATTGAAAACTGTACAAAAATTTTAACTGGGGAAGGCATTTATTATCAATCAATTTTACTATCTCTACAGTCAGATAAAAGCCAGTGGCAGACTTGGGACGAATTGGTTGAGCATCTGCAGTTTCTGTTGTCCAGTTATCAACATGTTTTAAGAGGTAAGGAGCGTTTATTCACAAGTGGAGTTGTGGGATGTCTCAGTGGACATTTGTATTAATCATAACTACACAGGAGATTCTAATTTGTTGACATTGTTCCTTGGTTGTATGTAACTTATTATAAGGGATAAGAAATGACATAGCTGGAGTCACCACTGTGAAAAAGAATTCACATATTCTTGTTATGGCCGACAATTCATGGTCCTCATAGTTGTAAGGTTGTGTAGGTAAGCAGAAGTCATCAGAACCTCCAGCCTGGCCAACATGGGGAAATCCTGTCTCTACTAAAAATACAAAAATTAGCGAGGCGTGGTGGTGCACGCCTGTACTCCCAGCTACTCAGGAGGTTGAAGCAGGAGAATCGCTTGAACCCGGGAGGCAGAGGTTGCAGTGAGCCAAGATCATGCCACTGTATTCCAGCCTGGGCAACAGAGTGAGACCCTGTCTCAAGGGAAAAAAAAAAAAACAGAGAAGTCATCAGAACCTGAGAAGGAGTCAGGAATGACCTGAAGACCCCTGGCATCCTCCCTTGGCCTGTCACTGCAGCATCTTTGCTCAATGACTGTGGACATTGTAAACATTGTGAACATCTGTCAATACGATGTAAGTACAGAGCAAATCAGGAGCAAGGTGAACATGTACATCTTGCAGAAGATGTAAGATACCCTAAGTCTATGAAAGTGGCTCTTCAGAGCTGCTCAGGTCACGGGTGAAGCCAGTGACCAATGACGATGTAGGAGAGTTAGACCAGGTAACCCTCAGAAAGTAAATGTTGACCAGGATAATGATACAATAGCTGCTTCAAATGAGAATGATTTTATTAGCCAAGGATTAATGAGGCCTGTGGGAAAACTGAAGAACTGATGAATTATTAATTACTAGAGGAAAACTAGTAACTTGCTAGGGGAGAAACCTGGCATTTTTCCTGGATGTGATTGACGGAGAAGGATGTATCATAATGTATGTAATGTTCTTGCCAAAAGTTTATGACCGCGATCCAGTGGCCAGTACACTTCAGACAAAACCAGATTGAGTGACCTTTTATAAAATAACTGACCTGTACTTTTTTAAAGTGCTAGTGTCTTAAAAACAAAGACAGACTGAGATACTCTTCCATATTTAAGAGAAACTAAAGCACATAAATACTAAATGCAGTGCATGACCCTAGGCTGGATCCTGAACAGGAGAAAAGAAATCATAAATGGGGAGACAAGAGTTTCCCAGAAAGAAGGAACAGCATGTCCTAGAGCCTTGAGGCAAGAAGTTGCTTAGTGTGAGTCCAAGGAACATAGAACAAACTAGCAGGGCAAGGCTATAGTACATTGTTCGGACAATTGGTAAAACTTTAATAGATTAGATAACAGTATTGTGTGGATACTGAATTCCCTATTTTTGATAATCATACTGGATTGTGATAGTAAATATCCTTGGCCTCAGGAAATCCATACTGAAGTACTGAGGGTAGAGGGCACAGTGTCTGCAACTTATTCCCAAATAGTAAGCGACAAAAGTGTATAAGTGAAGTGCACATGCCCATGATCATATTGAGATTTATTTTAACTCAGTAATGGCATTTGAGAAGGTAAGATAGCCCTCAGACCCTCTTAGGCCAGGAATTGACAAAGCTGTTGTAGAGACGTTTAAAAAAAAAAAAAAAGTTCTGGATTTAAGACAGAAAGTCTGAGTTTAAATCCCCGCTTCACCATTTACTCCGTGTTGGGCAGCTAACTGTCTCTAGGCCTCGGTTTCTTCCTTCTATGGAATGGGGATGATAGTATGTAACTTGCAAGGATTATTCTTGAGTGTGAAAAAAGTATTAAGTGTTTAATCTTTATTGAATCTGTCTTCCTGTGTTCCTGGGCAGAGGTAGGCTAAGGGTCTTCTCTGTGTTTCAGACTCTTGTAACTAACACTTAAAAGAGTACATTGTCGGCCAGGCATGGTGGCTCACGCCTGTAATCCCAGCACTTTGGGAGGCTGAGGTGGACAAATCACAAGGTCAGGAGTTCAAGACCAGCCTGACCAAGATGGTGAAACCCTGTCTCTACTAAAAATACAAAAAATTAGCGGGGCATAGTGGTGGGGTCCTGTAATCCCAGCTACTCAGGAGGCTGAGGCAGGAGAATAATTTGAACCCGGGAGGCAGAGGTTGCAGTGAGCCAAGATCGCACCACTGCACACCAGCCCTGGCGACAGAGTGAGAGTCTGTCTCAAAAAAAATAAACAAACAAAAGAGTATGTTGTCCAGTTCATGCATGATATGTGGTTGTGCAGTTTGTGCATTTTGTAGCACCCTCAAAGAAAGGTGCATGTCCTTCTCAGAACAAAGACCCGAAGGCAAGTTCCATGTGTTCTTAGCCTCAAGGAGGCTTATGTAATTGTTTTGGAGAGTACCAGAAGGTTAATATTAAACAGCTTGTTTTAAAGTTCACCTTTCACATTTTTTGTTCCTTACTATTTCAATTCCCAGGGAATACACCTATCATGGGCAATAATGACTTAAGATGGAAACAGAATCTACTTTTATTACAGAATATTTTTAATGTTTTGATAAGAGAGAGAAAGGCCTCAGACCAGTATATATTGACCAAGAATAAATGGGGTGTGTTGCAATGCTGTTTTATCCTTAATGTTCGTTCCAGCTTCTTTGAGGTCCAAGAGTTGGGAAGGAGGAAAATTAGCACTAGTAGTTTGAAAACATTGTCCTGCAAAGAACACAGCCGAATGGTGCCCTGCAATAGTCAGCGTCCTTGTCAGTCAGTAAGCATCTTACTGTGAGGACCCCTTCCTCATCTCTGCCTTCTGCGCGTGGTCTGTGGATGTGGTTGAGGGCATTTTGAGATTAGTCTGAGTTGTCTAGCTCCACTAATTGTCTAGCTGCACGAGTGGGAGAAGAAGGGAAGGGATTAGAGAGCCTAAGCTTTCCCTTTTTTTAGGGGAACTCTCAGCATGGAGGGAGAGAGGAAAAGAGATTAGGTAAATGCACCTGCACTGGCTTATATAATCCAAAAACCTTGTGAAGGTATCACCCCCCTGTTACAGATGGGAAAACAAAGGCTGAGAGAAAAGTAGATGCAGAGCCGGGATTCAAACAGATCTGTCAGAGACATGGATTCTGGGCTGTCAGTTGAGCTCATGTTCTTGTTCTTCAACTGAGAGAATCAATCCCCCCACCCCAGTTGCATAGCCATGTGGCTCAAGTTTCAGCCTCTGCAAAATTACAAAGTGCTGCCTGTCATGGAGTTTATGAGTATGAATTCTAGGGATTTGAACATATAATACTTAAATGAACAAATGCATGCTTTTCCTGAATCCTGCTCATCTGGCCAGCATAGCTTACAGAAGTCAGTCACAGTCATTCTGAGGACAGTCACACACACAGTCTCCCTGCAAGGAGCCCTGTCCATGGACGGGGAAAAGCAGAAGCAGGTAGGATCAGTTGGTCCTAAATGAATAATCACACGAGTAACCTATAGTTACAATTAAAGTAAATGCTATGAAGGAAGTACAAGTGCACAAAATCTATTTTTGGAGGGACCCAGGAAGGCCTCCCTGAAGAAGTGATACCTCATCTAAGATGTTAAGTAGGCAAGGCACGGTGGCTCACCCCTGTAATCCTAACACTTTGGGATGCCGAGGTGGATGGATCACCTGAGGTCAGGAGTTCAAGACCAGCCTGGCCAACATGGCAAAACCTCATCTCTACTAAAAATACAAAAATTAGCCAGGTGTGGTGGTGGGTGCCTGTAATCCCAGCTACTCAGGAGGCTGAGAAAGAATCGGTTGACCCTGGGAAGCAGAGGTTGCAGTGAGCTGAGATCGTGCCACTGCACTCCAGCCTGGGTGACAGAGCAAGACTCCGTCTCAAAAATAAATAAAGACATGAAGTAATGGTGTTAGCCAGGCAAATGGGGAGACAAGAGTTTTCCAGAAAGAAGGAACTGCATGTCCAAGGGCCTCGAGGCAAAAAGATGCTTAGTGAGTCCAAGAAACATAGAACAAGCTAGCAGGGCAAGGATGTAGTGAGTAAGGGGAGAATAACACTAAATGAGACTAGAGTAGTCCATGGGGCAGGTTGTGAAGGGCCATCTTGGCCATGCTAAGGAAATTCAGCTGGTTCCTAGAACAGAGTGAAGCCATCAAAGTGGTTGGTTCCAAGTAAGGGAGTGTCATGATCAGATCTGCAAATGTAAAAGGCCGCTCTACCTGATGTGTAGCGAATCATTTGGCAGAGAGCCAGGGGAGGGGTAATGGTGACAAGGGTGTGGCGAGGACGGAAGGACAGTGGAGAAGGCAGTGGATGGGACAGAAGCACTTTGAATATAACTTTGACAGGGCTTAAGTGACTGAGTCTGAAGGATGACTCCCAGGGTTCTGCCATTGCTGACATGGAGAAAGATCTGCAAGGAAGATCAGGAGCTCAGGTTTGACATATTAGGTACACGATTCCTATAGTGATGATGGTGATGATGATGATGATAAAATAATAGCTAACTCTTTTATTGATCCAAAACTACTAACAATACTATCAGCTGAAATATCCTGATTCAGGCATTATGGCTCAAACCCTTTTCAATGCTAAATGTCCTCATACAGTAATCAGCAGCCTCTGATATAACAATTCTCATCTTACCGAAGCATAAAATCCAAGGCCTTGCTGACTAGACCAGCAGGGCTGAAGTCCACTGGCCAGGGTTTCCTCCCCCATAGACAGTGCTGAGATGGGCGCTGCTAACATTTGCTTCTTTAACTTTCCTGCAGGATTTAATAAACTCCAAATGCTTCTTGCTTGCCCTCTAAGTATCCCCGTCCCACCCTATTCAACTTTTTTCCCACTTCTTTCAAAATCATTTTTATATTTTTCAGAGTGGGACATGCCTTAAGAAAATCAAAGTCTACAAAAAGGCTCTTTTCTTCCTGAGACTGTTCTTAACAAGTCACAAATGAAACAGCTCATATTTCCCTGTTTACAACCCTCTAAGTCTATAGATACCCTGTTTTGCTCTCAAAGGCCAAACTCCACATTATAATGTGGCCTGCCCTACCTTCCAATCTCATCTAGTACTTCTCTCCCTTTTATTACTCTGATTTTTTTTAAGTTTCTCAATTTATAAAGTCATTACTTTATGTTAGCTGAAACACTTTAGGTATCAAATGTAATTTCCATTGCCTTCCATGGATGCAATTAACATGTGGTATATGCATCCCCAGTGCTTCCACCCAGTTCCGGCGGCTGGGAAGTCCAAGGTTGAGGGGCTGCACCCGGGAAGGACTTCTTGCTGCGTCTTACCATGGCAGAAGGCTTACTACCCTGACTTTCTGTCTAGTTCTCAAAGCATGCTTTTCCTCAGGGCATTTGCTCTTGCTGTTCTCCATGGACTGCTTTTCCCTTTGACCTTTGCATGGCTGCCTCCTCATCCGTCCATACTCAGCTCACAGACCCTCCCTGGCTAGAGTGGGCTGCTTCCCTTATTCCCCCCAGTGTTACTGTTTATCACCGCATCTGATGTATTTATTTGATTGCATTTGCCACAGACTACAATCAATATTGTTGACTAACTTGTCAGGCTTCCTGCAACTAGAATATCAGTCTACAAGGACTGGGCCCAAGGCTCTGAATTCCACTGTCCCCAGACCCTAGCCAGTTCCAGATGTGCAGCAGGTGCTCAGTAGATGTGTGCTGTTTGAATGTTGAAAGGGCCTTGCACTTCCATCTCGAGGCAGCTTTGTTTCCTGTGTTTCCAGACTTTCTGAACATGCTGTTGTATACTTACTATACTTCTTCGCAGATTACAGACTTTAGTTTTGAGAGATTTTACTTTTCAGTCATTTCTTCTGAAAGTTGAGAAGAAAACATATTGAATGTATTACTTGAAAATGTAACCTGATATACCGCTTAAAATGATTTATTCTGTGTCCTAAATCTGGACACAGTGTAGCTCAATCCTTTTAATAACTGCTAGTGAAAATGCCGTCATCCCCGTTTGATAAATGAGGAGACTGAGAAATAATGGTGTACTTATATGCAACTGGAAGTCTTCGAGTCCCCAGAACTCTCTCAATACATTTGCCTAATGTGACCTTGTGCTCATTTGCCTCAATTTCACATGCTTCTAGAATCTATTGGGGATGGCCTAACTTTTTGTTTTCTTGAGTATTTTCATTTTTAGACCTACGGTAAAGTTGAAAGAATAGTACAACGAACGCCCATATATATATGCCATTTACGTTGATTCATTAGCTGCTAAGATTTTGACACATTTGGTTTACCTATTGATCCATTTATGTACCATTTTTTCTGAAACAGTTGATAAGTACACCATTATAATTCTATTGCTTAAGTACTTCAGCATGTTCAGTATGTATCTCTAAGCATAAGGATATTGTACTTCATACCACTATGCATTATCACACTCACGAAACTTGTTTTGTTTTTTTGTTTGTTTGTTTTGAGGTGGAGTCTAGCTCTGTCGCCCAGGCTGGAGTGCAGTGGTGCAATCTTGGCTCACTACAACCTCCACCTCCTGGGTTCAAGCAATTCTCCCACCTCAGACTTCCGAGTAGCTGGGATTACAGGCACGCACCACCATGCCTAGTTAATTTTTTTGTATTTTTAGTAGTGACAGGGTTTCACCATATTGGCCAGGCTGGTTTCAAACTCCTGACCTCAGGTGATCTGCCCACCTCAGCCTCCCAAAGTGCTGGAATGACAGGCAGAAGCCACCACACCCGGCCATGAAACTTGTTCTTGATAGCATGTTATCTAATAGTGTCCCAGTAATATCCTTTTTTGGTGGTTGATTTTAGATTGAGCCAGGATACAGTCAAATATGAAGCACTGTACTTGGTGGTCATACTCTTTGGTCTCTTTCAGGCTAGCACAGTTCCCAGCTTTTACTTGTCTTTCATAGTAGATATTTTTTAAGAGTCTAGGCCAGTTATTTTGTAAATGTCCCATAACTGAGATTGTTAATTGCTTACTCATGATCACACTTAAATACTGTTGACAAGAACAAGAACATGGAACAGACAGGCACGGTGGCTCACACCTGTAATCCCAGCACTTTGGGAGGCTGAGGCAGGCGGATCACTTGAGGTCAGGAGTATACACACACACACCCCCCCCTGAGACTGGGTAATTTATAAAGAAAAGAAGTTTAATTGGCTTACAGTTCTACAGGCTATACAGGAGGCATAGTGGCTTTTGCTTCTAGTGAGGCCTTAGGAAACACAATCATGGCTGAACAGGAAGCAGGCATGTCTTACGTGGCCAGAGCAGAAGAGTGAGGAGGTGCTACATACACACTTTAAACCACCAGACCTCACAATAACTCATTATCACTAGAACAGCACCAAGGGGATGGTGCCAAACCATTCATGAGAAATCACCCCCGCCAGGCCCTACCTCCAACATTAGGGATTACGATTTGGGATTGTCTAGTTGTTTATTCATGATCATACTCATGTTAAATACTACTGGCTAGAACATGGAATAGATGAAGATGTCTGATTGTTTCCCCAGTATTTTCATTTTTTGACCGCTTTTTATGTGATCATAAAAAATGACACCGATCCAAACCATATCACCTTAATGTAAAACTTAAGGACCCTAGAGAACTGAGAACAAAGGGCCTCCTGGAAGTGGAGTTACTGCAGGCACTCACATAGCCTTCGACTTGTATCCCTGTAGCTAGTCAACAAGTCTTTGCCAAGACTCTACCTACCTACCAAAATTAGACTTCTTAAAAAAGGAATAAAAAGCAGTTCAGAGCACCCAGCTGACTTTTTCCCTCTTGCAGAACACTTAAGGAGTTCCGTGATCGACCGAAAGGACTTAATAATCAAAAGGATTAAGCCCAAACCCCAGCAAGGAGATGACATCACAGTGGTGGACGTAGAGAAGCAGATTGAGGCCTTCCGCAGCCGCCTGATCCAGATGCTGGGGGAGCCTCTTGTCCCTCAACTCCAAGACAAAGTGCACTTGTTGAAGCTCCTGCTCTTCTATGCTGCGGACTTGAACCCTGACGCAGAGCCCTCTCAAAAGGGCTGGAGCAGCTCCTGAGGGCCTGCCAAGCACCGAATGCCAAGAATACCTCCTGAACTCTTATCTCCAACTACTTAAAAGCTCCAAAAGTAGGAAAAGTGGCTAAAATCTTACAAGACCAAACCTATATTATTTAATCAGTAGGTTGTAATTTCTAACTCTAGTATAAATATCTTTTTTTAAATAATCCTATCCTAGCCTATTCTCAAATATGGCTTAAATATACAAGGTATATATATTTTTTAATAAATTATTTATCTATACTTTTTTTGAAACAGGTTAATACTGTGTGCACCACGTTTAACATTTTCATTCAAGATGTGGAAAAATCCCTCTGCTGAAGCCACTCTATACACCAATATTATGTCATTCAAGGTACCGACGACCTGTTTCAGGAGAGACGTTCATTTTTCCCTAATGAAATGCAAGCATTCTATGTTAGACCTATTATATTGCCTATTAATTTGACTTTGTAATAAATAGAGGGTAGAAACAAAAGGATCAAGTGTGTTACAAAACATTTGATGTTAAAAGGAGACAATAAAAAGGCAATGGTTTTTCAAAATACCAAGTTCACTGTGACTCTGGGTAGGCAGAGTGGAATCACCATTGTTAAAAGGACAAAAAAATAGCCACATTTGAGAAAGTAGTAAAGATTTTTACTGTCAAAACAAGAAATCATAATAGAAGACACAAATAAATTAATTGTTCTCATAATTTTAGACTCCAGGGCCTCTCTATGGAAAGGCCAGCTTCTTATACAGACCAGGTACTATCCCAAACAAAAAACAGGTACTTGAGACAGTGTTCAAGACAACAACTGAACTTGTACACAGTGAGGAGAAATAAAAAGGTGGCTTCCCTATTTCCCTCCCTCAGTAAGGTTATGTGTTGCATAAAGGGATGAGGCTCATTTTGGTGAAAAATGCTTTCATACAGAAAATTATGAATTCATTCACCTCCCCACACAGGCATTCCAGGCCCTGACCTGAACAAGGAAATCAAAATAAGGTAACACCATTGGCTTCACATGAACCTCAAGACTATAACTGTACCTATCATCTCCTTTACTTTTTTTAAAATTTAATGTCCATTTACCTATACCAAATCAGTAGACTGAATTTTCTCTCTTAGGAAGTTTTTAACCAAATTAGAGCTAAATTAATCTCACTTTAAAGTGCAAGAAAGGCTCTGCTAGAGTAGTGTTTGTTCTGTGGCATAGAAAGAGGAGCATGCCTCCCCCAGCACTGGCCTAAGAGGCCCCACAAGAAGAACTGGCTGCAGGACAGTGATCCATTAGGTCTACCAAAAAGCAGGGGGACGCAGTGTTCAGCCTAGAAAGAGGGGTCCCTGCCGAATCTGGCTTTTACCTGTACCCAGGTCCCAAACAAATCTTGGGTCCCCTAACTGATAAGGCTGGAGCACAGCACCAGCCATCAACAGGGCCAAAGTCGTCTCAGGGAGTCAATGAGCACCTCTAAGCCATGATTTGTCAGTGCTCACGTGGATAGTGGTAAAGGAATCGAGAAGTCTGGGTTTTGAAACAGCACAAACATTCTTTACCCAGTAAGCAGTGATCAATGTTCTTACCTAGGGCAAATGATGAAAAAATAGGTAATGAGGTCCCCATGCACCAGTGCTGAGAATATTTAGTCTAACTTTAAAGCAATACAAAATGACTTCTACACAACAAGGGCCAACTTTGTACTAATGTTTCTCAAAAACCAATTACATCTCCAGCTCTAGCCTCAATTTAACGGGTTCTTTACTTTATTTATTTGACAGAGTCTCGTTCTGTCGTCCAGGCTGGAGTGTAATAGCATGATCTCAGCTCACTACAACCTCCGCCTCCCGGGTTCAGGCAATTCTCCTGCCTCAGCCTCGCAAGTAGCTGGGACTACAGGCGCCCACCACCACGCCCAGCTAATTTTTGTATTTTTAGTAGAGACGTGGTTTCACCATGTTGGCCAGGCTGGTCTTGAACTCCTGACCTCAAGTGATCCACCCACCTTGGCCTCCCAAAGTGCTGGGATAACAGGCATGAGCTACCATGCCCAGCTGATTAAGTTTTTAAATATACCTTTCCTATGTCAATGCCAAGGTAAAAGGGGAGTGGGGTGCAAGAAACCTTCTTTACCAGAATCCCTGGAAAGAAAGGGCTCTAGAAGCCAGTGGGTGTGAGCACATTCAAGTCACGGGGTTTGAGGTTATGGGCCCGTGGTGGTGGTTTCTTTCCTTCCACCACTGGGATGTCCATCTTGGGCGGCTTCAAGGCTGCTGGCTCTTCAGCCATTTGGTTGGTTTGAGCACGGATCAGTTCCAATGGAGAGGGCTTCTGGGCTCCTCGGTAGGCCTGGGTGGCAAAACTTCCTACAAAAGTGAACCAGAGCGTGAATGATTTCAAAACCAGTAGGCAGCTCCCGATATACAATATGGTAAGATGTCTGCCATGCCGCTCTGTTTTTTGAAGGCACTGCCTTACCAGAGTCATACTTTTGAAGGGATCTCGGTCCAAAGAGGCTCCACTTGTCTGACAAGTTTCTGTCCTTATCCCCACTTCCAGAGTCCATGGTGCTGGGATTTGGGCCAGGTAAGGCTGTGGAAGAACCAGAAGTGAACCAGCCCCTGGAAAAAAAAACAAAACATACCCTAAAATACCTCTTCCTTCACCCCTAGAAATGTCTCACACCAAAAGAACAGGAACTGAACTATCCCTTCTCCCTCCGAAACCACAGGCTTAAATAATACAACCTCGCCTGCCACACTAGCTTTCCTGAAGCACACGGGAACTCGGAAGCGTCACAGGAAGGGCTCACCTGGGCCTCTGCTTAGGTGAAGAATGTGGACTGGTGCTTGGGGTGGACTGGGCTGATGCAGGCTGCCTCTCTTCTTTTGTTATCTCTCCACTCTGTAGCTTTAGTTTCTGCTCAGATGGGTAAGAAGAGAGACTTTTTAAAAATGAAAGCAAATGCAAACAGCTAAGCCTAGGCATAAACAATTGGGTTTGCATTCTAACTTTAAGCACAAGACATCTACAGGTGGAATGATTTCGAGTGATCTAACAGGTAGTCCTTTGTTTTTGCCAAAGGACATGGAACTCCATCTCCTCAAAAAATGTGTTCATTCTACACTGTATTGTGAACATCCCTGTACTTAAAGCTTTACACTACAACTTTTACTTTCAGAAAAGTGAAGTAATTGCCCCCACATTCCCCCAAGTCAGTAAAATGGAAGAGCCAGAACTCAAGCTGCCAGCCTTCTTGGCCTTTTAAGCAGGGCTTAAGCTCTTGTCTCGCTGCTGCTCCTACCACGTACAAAGCTCTGCCATTCTCAGTCTCTCCAAGCCAAGACTCAGGCATGTGGGTCTCTTCAGCTAAATGCTTCCTCTGAGGAGCCTGCTCCATTCTCTCCTCCTCCTCTCCCACAGTCAGCCACTCTGGGTTCCCTCAGCACCGTTAGCATTCCTCTAACTGACTCGCAGTCTAGCGGGGAGAGACAGGTCTAATCTCAGCTCTTCTAGAGCAAGGTTCCCATGCTGTCTCCTCCCTCCGGGCCTGCCATGCCACTGCTTAGCCCAAGCTGTGCTCCAAACAATGATCACGTTTGAATTTTCTCAAACATTCAACAGATCCATTCATGTAAGTTGACAATCTGTTACAAGATGTAAGTTACAGCTAATATTTCAGCCATCCTCATGTTCTACTCCTATGGGAAAGACACAGAAAATGAGTCAACCAAAGTCAGTCCTACCGTTATGTAAGGTGAATTGCTCAAACAGAATTCTCACTGACCTATACTGGAAAGTTCTCAGTTCAGTGTCAAAGGCTGATGGTACCCCTCTCTGGAAGCATCGGCCTTGTTTGAAAGCTTAAACTGGCCACCAGCCCAAACCTGATTTCCTATAGCAGTTTTTAAACCTAGCCTGCAAAAGAATCATCTGGAATGCTCATTACAAAATGCAAACAGGGCCGGGTGCGGTGGTTCACACGTAATATCAGCACTTTGGGAGGCCGGGGCAGGTGGATCACATGAGGTCAGGAGTTCAAGACCAGCCTGGCCAACATGGTGAAACCCCGTCTCTACTAAAAATCAGCCAGGCATGGTGGTGCATGCCTGTAATCCTAGCTATTTGGGAGGCTGAGGTGGGAGGATCACTTGAACCCAGGAGGTAGAGGTTGCAGTGAGCTGAGAGCGCAATACTGTACTTCAGCCCGGGTGACTGCAAACAGGCCACAGTGTTTTATATCCCCACCCACAGGCCACCAGACCCAGGTTATTTCTCCTTATATATAATGTATACTATGATCCTTTCCGGCCTCTTGTGCTCTCCTCACCTTGCCCTCATCATACCCTGTTCAGAACTCTTCAAGCTTGGAACAAGCCTGGATTCTGACCCACCTTTGCCTACAGAAGCCAGTCCAAGTTCCTTTTTTTTTTTTTTTTTTGAGACGGAGTCTCGCTCTGTCGCCCAGGCTGGAGTGCAGTGGCCGGATCTCAGCTCACTGCAAGCTCCGCCTCCCGGGTTCACGCCATTCTCCTGCCTCAGCCTCCCGAGTAGCTGGGACTACAGGCGCCCGCCACCTCGCCCGGCTAGTTTTTTGTAGTTTTAGTAGAGACGGGGTTTCACTGTGTTCACCAGGATGGTCTCGATCTCCTGACCTCGTGATCCACCCATCTCGGCCTCCCAAAGTGCTGGGATTACAGGCTTGAGCCACCGCGCCCGGCCTCCAGTCCCAAGTTTCTTAACTGTAATTGCATCTCTTCACAATCTGCCCCTTCAGGAGCTAGATTTCCAGGCTGCTTTGGAAGGAGGAGGAAGCA